AGTCAAGATAGTCAAACTGGCTTCAGTGTCTATGCTAACATTATGCATGGCGTTATGTTGCTAAAACATTAGTCAATAGAGATGTCCCGATCCGATCACGTGATCGGGGATCGGAGCCGATCACGTGATTTTACAAAGATCGGAATCGGGAGAAAAAAATCGGGGATCGGGTTTTTTTTTTAAATACTTTTTTTTAAATTTGTATTCAATGTTACAAAACAAAAATGACCATGTTCAAGTCTTAAAGTCATCCTGAGGCCTTAGTTTTGGTTTCAAATTACAGAACATCATGTATGTGTTGCTTCTTTGGGGCTTGTTTTCATAGACCTGGTTGCTTATTTCTCTCAAATCTGGCAACAGAGTGGGCAGGGCGCAGTGTCTAATTGTAGCAGTAAGCTAACGAGTACTGACAAGCTTTATTTTGTTTTGATCCAATGCTGCACAACTGAAGTGATCCAATGCTGCTGTGAAAGAAAGAAGCTATATCCATGTTGGATAGAATATCCAATTTAAATAAAAAAATAACCTTAAGGGACAACTTGAATGTCTTTTTTTTCTCTTAATGCATTGCATAAAGATCGGATCGGGAAAAATCGGTATCGGCAAATTGTCAAAATCAAATGATCGGAATCGGATCGGGAGCAAAAAAAGGTGATCGGGACATCCCTACTGAAGACTGATTGTGTTTTTATGAGACGCACCAAATAACTACAATGTCAACTCATTAACAGCGTTTTTAGACAGTCAGAGCATCTGATCTAGGTTAAAGAGTTGGTTGGGCGAGTCAAATAAGCACAGGGCTTTCATCCAGGCACACTGTTTTTGCCTATCGTATAAACATTGATTTAGGGGTTCTTGTTTAACTGTTGTTACCTCTTTTCCTTAACCTAAGCAAGTCATTGTGTTGTAAAGCTAAACTTAGCAACCCATTTTGATGTATGCATGTAACGAGCCGAATCAAGCTATTTATAAGAAGTTGGAAGTGACGCAAAAGGTTACTTGGAAAGGAGAAATTATAAAAATGGTTTTGAAGTTTTTTTTACCAAATGTTCTGGTGGCATATTGACTATGAGAAGTGTCACATGGCCAATCATCTTTTTGTCTCTGTTCCTCAGTGATGGTGCGGCAGCTCCAGGCGAAGGATTACGGCGGCTTCTGTGCCTTTTTCTCCGTCATTAACCACATTGGCATAATCATGTTGTTCAGCGCGTGCTTCTTCCCCGTGCTCTCTGTATTTGTTTACATCTACCTGGATATCCTGAAAATCGCCTGCAGCCACCAGAAGCAGATCTGCCAAGTTAGGCAGGCCGGTTCGAGGACGGGTGACCGCCAAGATTACGAGAACCATCCCCACCAGCAGCTGAGGAGCCACTACTGGAGCCACGTCAAGGCACTGAGGACAGTGGGGGTGTTGGTGGGCTGCTTCTTGGTCCTCTGGTGCCCCTTCTTTGTGGCGTGCATTGTGCATCTTCTGTGTGAAAGCTGCCAACTCAAAGGCGTCTTAGAGAATTATTTGTGGTTGTTGGGACTGTCGAACTCTCTGATCAACCCCCTGGTGTACGCCTTCTGGCAAAGGGAGGTGCGACTGCAGTTAGCCTCCTTGTGTTCCTGCTTTAGGGCGTTGGCTGCTAGGCCTCCATGTTTCACAGAGAGATGTGACCCCCAGCCTCCTGTGCTGAATCAAGCTGGTGCTCCTGCAGGAGAAAACCTCAACCCGTCGTTGTTGCGGGCGATTTCAGTCAACGACAAGGCTCAAACTGTGCCACTATCTGCCTCCACCGGATTGTGAAAGGAACCAGTGAAAAGGTGGCAACAAAAACATGGCTAGACAGAGAGTCATTGTTAATTTCAGATAATGGAAACGATTGATGTGTTTCAAATTGCGTAGTACTACTGTTCTTTGGCTTGCTGGTTTGAGTGTGTAAGTGAGTCCCAATGCAAAGTATGTCAAAATGCTCTAAGAACCTGGATTGTGCTCTCAAAACAGTCAAATAAATGAGTGTGGGACGCTGCACACATGACACACTTAAAAAACGCCATTTTGGCTATTTAAAGGAAGTTGTAAGACGAGCAGTGATTGAGGTTCCCTTGGAAATAAAGCCCTATACAAATAAGAGTAACATAAATATTATTTGTTTCACTATTTAAGTAACATACCCCTATACTGGTGCCAAAAGGAATCCGCCGTGATTTTGATAGGGTTAATTGAGCAGTCTGTGATGATGTGCTACCATTAACAATTGCTGCTAGCTAGCTAACAACGGCTATTGTGATTTAACACAACAGTACATGGTGGAAATTCACGCACTGCAAAATATGCTGTGTACTAAGAGAAGTAATCAAATTGAGATACAGCATATGAGATAGTGTTAGAAATTAAAATCAATTTTTTATGGCATAATTTAATTTAAACATACCGTCAGCTTAAAAGCTGTTTTATTCTGAAAAAAACTGAAGTTCTCGCACAATCTTAATGCCAAGCTTTTATTCTGAAAATCCTTCATCTCCGGTTAGCATTTAGCATGTGGCTAATATTCCTTTTTCTAGAGATGTGAATGTAGAAGTGAAAATGACACCGAGTGTTGCACAACAAAACCTACTGATTTCAACACTACATCTATAGACGTCGAGATATTATTATTGATGAATATTAAATGAAGGTACAGTTTATTTTAATAAGTTTTGTTTACAGACGTATGTATCTATGACTACATCCGGGTCTACCGTAAATGATAACTGCCGTAAAGTACTTCCAGTATTACTAAAAGTAACGATTACAGCCGTTAAAATGCAATAAATAAAAAGTCATGAAAGAGAGTATAGGCTATGAGGAGAAAAGGCGTGTTTAGTTATGTATTGAATGTACAATGTCTGAATCCTCTTATGCGCAACAACGGACATTGAAGACCAGAGGCGGGAGGACCCCCTACTACGCCAACCGGCACATGAGGAGGGGCCAACGAAGGGTACGGAACGAGCCGACGTGCGTGTTTGGGCTCGCTCTCCTTCGCGAGCAGACACCGGAGAACACAGGTGTTCTCTCAGAACCATCTTCTGTCTGTAACATTACCGCGCCATTTTAATTAAAGTACCCATTTGAACCTTATGCCATAGACTCCATTGATCTCTTACTTTTCAAGCTTCTCTCCTGGGACGCAAGAATAACGAATAATTCCAATATGATAAGTAAGCACCAATTAATTAAACACTAAATCTGATTATATCTAAAGCAAGGTTGTTGCTGAAATTTAGACCTTACCTAAATCTCTCTGCATTTCCTGTGATGCCATGTCAGGAGTCCAGTGGGCTTAATGCAGGAAGCAAAGTACGAACATTGTATTTTTTGTTTACTGATGGGTCAGAGGTCAGTGGCAGTAACGGAAGAGGCAAGGGTTGAATAGTTTCACAGGGTTGTTGTTGGGAAAATACTGAATGTTCCTTCTATATCAGAGTAGCCGGATGTATGACTACATTGATGGATGACGATGATAGCTATATATGATAGCTATGTTCCTAAAATTGGTATGATGACACAGCCCCTAGTGAGATAGATGACGTCATGTTTATTGCTTACCCTTAGCTAATCTGAACTAATGTCAGAATACTGCTTTGAACCAGTATTCCTCCATCTTGTTGACTGTAACATCCTCTCTTGTATATAAGCATCTGAAGGACACTGTTTTGGGAACTATTTGTCCCACGCAGCTCTGTTTGTGATGACTACTTCCATTCTTGCAAGGATAATAAATACATGTATCCTGATATTGAAGACCAAGCCGGTGACGAGTGACATTTGTCTAACAGTTTGTTATCCACAAGGCTCCACAATGGGACTTTTGATCACACTTAATTGAATATCCCGCAGAGACACTGTGCAGCCGGGAACAACCCACCAGACAGTGGGCTGTGATGTTAATAAACCAGAAGAAATAATTAATAAATAATTTATGCTCTGACTTCCAAAAACTGTAAATCTAAGAGTATTTTATTTTTTTGCATATATATTCTAAGGTTACACAAGGAACTCATATTCTCATCCAGCATTTAAGTCCATCTTTATACACCACCTTATTTTGGTCATTATATCTTTCTTATCTCTCCTATGCCAGTTATATTGGGGCAATAAAGATCAAAGATAGTGTGCAGCAAAGGTCATGAGACAAATTGGAACCCATGACATTATGCATGATTTGTATGCCTTGTCCCTGCTTGTTTTATACTGCTTTATGACATCCATATGATTTATTTAGCTCTGCTGTTTATCCTTTGAGCGGCTATCGCACACTTAATATTTCATAGCTGGATAACTATTCAGTCATGGCAACTTCCTCTGCTGCTTGAAGCTTGATAAATATCGTCCACTTTAAGTGTCAGCAGCCTGTATCAATAAAGCGCATGTCAGGGATGTCTGTTTACTTTAGACTGCAGTGTCTACATGAAGCTAATCAGCTGAGGCGGAAACGGACCTTCAACCATCCTTTTATATAAGTGAAAATGTTGCTATTCTACCCATCTCTGATGAGGCATGTGCAGAAGTAAATAGCAGCAGAAATGCATGGTCTAAAACACAATCAAAACACACAAAATGCAAAATATTTATTTAAAAATGCGGCCCGGAAAAAATCAATGGAGAAAAATACTATTGATTTTTAACAATGTTTCAGAATTTCAAGAAGACAGGAATGCTCTCTGGAAATGTTATGACTGCAAATCAAACTTCAACTCAACTACAAACTCAAACGTGTGTGTGTGTGTGTGTGTGTGTGTGTGTGTGTGTGTGTGTGTGTGTGTGTGTGTGTGTGTGTGTCTGTCTGTCTGTCTGTCTGTCTGTCTGTCTGTCTGTCTGTCTGTCT